CCCCCTCCTCCCCCCGCGGCCCCCCGCAGCCCCGGGGCTCCGGGCGCGGCGCAGGTGCGGCGCCGGTGGGCGACTGGTCTCCATGGGGCGGTCACGGCGCGCACCTTCTAAACCTAGCCTGCATCTCACTGGTGATCCCGCTTCTGGACTTTTGCAAATCATTTTATCAGTTTTTGGTTGGTATAGGCATGAGAAGGGACACTTCTGCCACATTCAGAGCATGTACAGGTCTTTTAATGATCTTATGCGTGTAATATTGAGTAACGAGCAAATGTGGACAGAAAGGACCAAATGTGGTTTTCAGCTAAGAAAAGTCAGTGGTTACTCGAGCTTATCAGTTACTGTCCATTACATAGAATAAAGACCCTGAAGAAAAAAAGAATAAAGTGTGAGAAAACCTGGCCTCCTTATTAAATCGTGTAATGCCACGGATCAGTTAGAATAGTGGCAAAGAACTTTTTTCTTTCAGGTCCCTAAATATACTGAAAAACCTAACTGCACTTGAATTGTTTTTGAAGGCAATGCGTCTAATTTGGTTATATGGAGAAATTTTTTCTAGAATTGCCTGGTAATTCTATGGTAAACAGGAATACCAAGGAAGTTTTACAGGTCTCTATACTACAGGTTTTGTTTTGTGATTTTTGCTTTACCTGCCATGCTCTCGGTGCCTCATAATTCTTTGTGGTGTGATTTGTAAAAAATAAAACACTACAAGTAAGCTTTCTAAAAATCAAGTAAATTCATTCCAGTGTTTTTTTCTGTAATGAAAAAAATTGCATCACCTTTCTAAGGTTTTGATAATACATGATAATAGCTCCTGTTTATTCAGGGCCTCTTATGTACCAGGCAAAGTGTTAGGAACTTTATATTCATTCTCTCTCATTATTAAGCAGTCCAACTAGCTGCTTCATCCTGGAAGTATAAAAGCGGAGATTGAAGTTCAAAGACTGTGTAACATTTCTTCTTAGTCCCAGGCACCTCCGACTCATCATGTCCCAAAAGGAACTTGTCTCCTTTCTCCATGCCTTTCCCGACATTCCCGCTGCCAGAAAAATCAAAGAAACAAAAAACCACGCACACAGCCATTGTGCCTTTTCTTTCTCTCAAGGAATGGTATTACCATTCACCCAGTTTATGCCAGAAACCTGAGAGATTACCGTGCCCTCTTCTCCCTACTTGTCCCCTGTAAACCTGTCACCAAAAATCTTGGCAATTTTTTCCACGTATCTCCTTCCCATTTTCTTCATCCCCATTGCTACCACCCTATTCCATTCCATCATCATTTCCCTGCCTTTCCTGTTGATTCCATCATCATTTCCCTGCCTTTTCTATTGATTCCATCATCATTTCCCTGCCTTTTCTATTGGAGCCTCTGCTCTCACCCTGCTACCCGCTCCCTTGTCCGATCCATTCACTGTGCAGCCAGACTGCATGGTTTTTCTAATATGCAAATATAATCATATTGCTCTTTTGGTTAAAACCCTTCAGAGACAGCCCATTAATTACCCCAAGGATAAAATACAGCAACCTAAACTTGACTGAAAAAGGTTCAGATAGGGCCCTGTCTGCCTTACTAGCCTGCTACAGTCCTCTTGCAATTCCTTAAACTGAACACAATCATTTTGCTCTTAAATACGCGATTCCCTCTGCCTTGATCTCTCCCTCCTCTTTGCCTAGCCAACTTCCATTCATCCTTCAGGCTTCAGCTTAAATATTCCTAAATTTTCCTAACTTTCCCGGGTATTTCTGCTGTATGCCACTGCAGCTCTTTCTGTAAGCCTCGCTGCCCTACATTTGTTGGAGTCTGTGGTCCCGTTTGCATTGGGGCGTCCATGATGGAGGGACCGTGAGAAATTTGTTCAAGATTATAACCCCATGCGGGTGCTCAGTGCTCGGTGTCTAAGGCAATTGCTGGTGTCCTACCATGGTGATTAGAGCTACTTGGAATTAATTCTACCTTTTGAAAATAGATTTAATTCTCAAATGTTTCTGTTTTTGAATACAGTTTGGGAGAGCCGGTGGTGACCGCGTGAGTGGAGCCGGGCTGTGTGGGTGCCCCAGCATGGATGGCTACGAAGTCCTGAGAGTGATCGGGGAGGGCTCCTTCGGCAGAGCCCTTTTGGTTCAGCAGGAAAGCAGTAATCGGATGTTCGCCGTGAAGGAAATAAGGCTTCCCAAGGTCACTGCTAAAGCAGTTAACTCATGTTGAAAGTGTACATGCAATTTATATAGGAAAACAAGTTCCTGAAGTTTAATATGGAATTGCTCCTTCATGCAAAAGATGTAATGGGTTTATTCAGTAGCTTTACAAGGTGTTGATATATTTTATATGGTTTTTAGGATATTGTACTTAACAGGGGTCAGCCCGGTGGCGCAAGCGGTTAAGTGGGCACGCTGCGCTGCGGCAGCCCGGGGTTCGCCGGTTCGGATCCCGGGCGTGCACCGACACACTGCTTGTCAGGCCATGCTGTGGCAGCGTCCCATGTAAAGTGGTGGAAGATGGGCACGGATGTTAGCCCAGGGCCAGTCTTTCTCAGCAAAAAAAGAGGAGGATTGGCAGATGTTAGCACAGGGCTGATCTCCTCACACACACAAAAAGAGGATATTGTACTTAACAAAAAGAGAGAAAAGTAGTGAAAGTTTAGGTGGTGATTGCTGTTTATTTGATCTCAAAGTGAATAATTTGTGATGGTTTCCAATTTTGTACACTTAAGGGTATAGAGAATCTTTGCCAAAAGCAACTCAGGTGTGATATTAATGAAAAAAGAACATAATATAATGAAGAGCAAAGACCTAAAATGCTAACCTTTGGTATCAGGGAACCTATTCTGTGGATCAGTTTACAGGTTGAATTTCCTGTAAGATGAGGAAGGTGCTGACTTATCACTATTTATCATTGTCTATCATAGTTGTCCCCATATAAAAGAATCCATGCCTTGGAGGCTGCTTAATACTGTTTTGATCAATTTTTAAAAATACATTTTAATAAAATTCTCAGAGTGCTAAGTATTTTTTTCCCCACTGCATTTTTGACCTTGTGTAGTGATTCTCAAGTGGGCATCAGAATCACCTGGAGAGCTTGCTAAAACAGATTGCTGAGCCTCACCCCTGAGATTCTGGTTGAGTAGGTCTGGGCGGGCCTGGGAATTTGCATTTCTAGCAAGTTCCCAGTTGGTGCTGATGCTGCTGGTCTGAGAACCCTTGTGTTGGTACATAATCAATAGCAGTTGCTTAATTGTAAGATAAGTCATTCGAGATTTCATCCTCATAGCGTAAGTTAGGGGATGAACAGTTTGGAAACTTACTTTATAAATCGTCTTTGTCCATCCTTGCTATAGTAATACACCAGTCTGTTATTTCTCATCTGGGCCAGTGGACTGATAAAGTGATGCAGACAGTAAAAACATGAATTCCCTCATTTTTCTTTAAGGATACACTGTTGTTAATTGCATACTGGCTCTCTAAGTCAGGTTATGCTTAGGCGGATGTTTAGACTAGTTTACATTCTATACTTGTAATGGTATAAGGGATCAGCCTAGGCATGCAAAATATAGCCACAGTTGAAAAATCACCACATTTTCTCTTGGAGTTTGATAAACTTATGTTGGGTCAAAGTGCAGGGCTACAAAACTTCATCTGGCATTGAAGTATCCTACAAACCATACTATAATGTTGTAAAGCTATCTATTTTAAAACAAAATATTACATGTACGCTTATTTTAAATCTTTTTCTAGTCTTTCTCTGAGACACAGAATTCTAGGAAGGAGGCTGTTCTGTTAGCCAAAATGAAACACCCCAATATTGTTGCCTTCAAAGAATCATTTGAAGGTAAATACGAATTCCCCCAAATTCGTGCATTTCTGAATTTGATTTATGGCCACTACAGCTTTCCTAAAAGTCTTATATTTGCTTTAGCTGAAGGACACCTGTATATTGTGATGGAATATTGTGATGGAGGAGACCTAATGCAAAAGATTAAACATCAGAAAGGAAGGTTGTTTCCTGAAGATATGGTAAGAGACTGACTTATGTAGTTTCCTTAAGGGTTTAAAAGTAACTTTTCTCATAAAATTTGTGTAAGTTAAAATAAAAGCATTGGTATCTGTGATTATTTGACACACTGGTTAGAAATGACTTATTTCTATATCCAGGCTACTGCTTAATGTTGTCGGGATGTGGCTGCCTAAGATGTTTTTAGGAAGTAAAATAGATATAAGTTTATAAAATATCAAGGACTAAAACTTCCACGTTTAGAAGAATTTCAAAATTATATTACTCATCGTGTTTTATACTAGTTTAAATTTTTGATTTTGTTGTATTGAAATTTTAGAAGACAGGTGGATTTATTTTGTATTTCTGTATCATCAGAAGAATGAGGCCTGCATTTCTGTTTCTTGGGAAGACCTATTCTCAATCTTTTTCCCCCTAAAGTTTAGCATATTCCCTTAAATCTAGAACTTCCTGCCTTTTTAATGGAAAATTGCATACTAAATATTATTGGAATGAATTGACTAAGGAAAATATTTAAATAAACTGCTTTAATGGGGTTTAGTTTGATTTAGAGTATAACATGTTACGAAAGTGTGTTGGTATAAATATATTTCATTTAGAAGCTGTTATTAAAAATATGGGTTCTGTAGAAGGAGATCAACCTTGGCTTCAAATGAATGAATCTCCATAGCAAAAAGAAAAAAAAAATCAGTTTGACATTTAATTCTAGGCCCCTCTTGGCACCTGGAAATTCTAGGTACTATTGACTTGGGATTTATAAGCAGAAAATGCTGACCTCAAAGGATTGTTGACAATATAATGAAATCTTTTAATGTTAACGTGAATATTCTTAAAAAGTAAATGAAAATCTGATGTAATTATTACACTATAAAAAGTTATAGCATATTCATTTCTAAGTGGTGAACTACCTTTATATGTGTGTTTAAGAAGTATTCTTATTTGGTTGAATACAAGAAAAATGTAGTGGGAGTTTTATTAAAATGAATTGCTATTTGGATCATACATAAGATGATGAAACGGATTCACAGCTTTTCTGAATTTCTCTAGGCAACTCTGAATCTTAGTTGACCTATGTAGTTTTTAGGATTTCTGTACTTACATTATGTAAAACTCAGGTCAACTAAGGTCCAGAGATGATTTTTTGGAATTTTGGGTTAAATGAACCAGTTATTGCTTTCTGCAGATTTGCATGCTTTTTTCTTACAGATACTTAATTGGTTTACACAAATGTGCCTTGGGGTAAATCACATTCACAAAAAACGTGTGTTACACAGAGATATCAAATCCAAGGTAAGTGAAATACATTTTTGGGCGTTAAAAAAAACCAAAACGGGGCCCGCCCGGTGATGTAGCAGTTAAGTGTGCGCACTCCAGTGCAGCAGCCCGGGGATTGGAGCCCCGGGCGCGCACGGACAAACCGCTTGTCAAACCATGCTGTGGTGGCGTCCCACACAAAGTTGAGGAAGATGGGCACGGATGTTAGCCCAGGGCCAATCTTCCTCTGCAAAAAGAGGAGGATTGGCAGATGTTAGCTCAGGGCTGACCTCCCCCAACTCCCCCGCCAAAAAAAAAAAACCAAAACGATTTCATTTAGTCTTTTTTCTGTGTTATCCTATTTCCTCTTGGGATATTTTTATTTGATTTATAAATATTTGTCAACCTAATATTTATACTAGCCAAATAAGGTACTACCGGAGAAAAAGTCAATAAATCTCTTTAGTAGTATATATTAATATGTTCCAAGCTCTCTTAGTGACTGCTTACTAAGTCCACATGTTCTCAGATCAAAAATGGTTGAGACTTGGGCCTGCCACTTGGAGTTACCCTGAGACAGGTTCCCAGCTGGTTGGTCAGGCTCTGCTGATGTAATGTGAAGTTTGCTTGTTAGATTTCTAAGGAGTCATCCTGAATTCCCAAGCAGGGGAATGGGTAGCTCTCTAGAGGGTATCTTGTCTTTTTGTGTTCCACTCCGGGACTCGCCTGTCAGCATTTCTACCGTTAATCTCCATCATCAGCAGGCTTTGAAAGACAGCTTCTCTGGAGCCCTCTGCCTCATGTTTGAATGATGGAAGACGTAATCTGAGCTCTTCTTTTTTAATGCAGAATATCTTCCTCACCCAAAATGGAAAAGTGAAACTGGGAGATTTTGGATCTGCCCGTCTTCTCTCCAAGTATGTATGTCTGTTCTATGGTAGTGACAGTAATCAAAACATCCATTCTTCAGGAATGCTCTCTAATCATTCTTTGCATTTTTATGGTTTTAGTCCCATGGCGTTTGCTTGTACATATGTGGGAACACCTTATTATGTGCCCCCAGAAATTTGGGAAAATAGGCCTTATAACAATAAAAGGTAAGTAATGGACTTATTTGGTGCAAGGGTGACTGTTTGGTGACAGGCATTGTAGCCTATCAAGCGAAGTTTGGTTTTTAAAAAACTGTATCTGAAAGCAGTGTAGAATCTAACTTCTCAGGCTTCTAGATGAAAGTCAAAGTTTTCCAGCTGTTTTAATCAGAGCTGAGAGGGGCTAAAAGTAAATGCTGAAAGAAAGGCTAGTCATTTCTAGGGACAATATGAATGGTATCACTGGTTCTCAAACTTTGTTGCTCCCACTTTTAAAAATCCCAAAGTGCAGGTTGCAAGCATACCAATTAAATCAGAATGTCTGTGGGTGGGAAGCAGGCATCAGTAATTTTCCAGGATAGCCAAGTGGTTCTATGTGCAGCAAACTTTGGGAACCACTGGATCATGTCATTAACATTTACAGGACTTGATAAATAAGCACTTGACTGATAGGTTAATTGATTACAAGAAGATAATATGAAGACCTTATGTTTTAAAACATAATTTTTTTCTGAATATAAGTCATATGTGCTTTTTGATGGAGTGGGTGGGCAGGGGGAGGATTGGAAATATAGAGATGTACAAGAAAGGAAATGGCCATCACCCACTTTTTCACAACTATTAATAGCATTTTGGTGGTTTTTTCTATCCATTCATTTTTTCCCCCTAAACCTAGTTTATATACTCTATATACAACTTGGTATCCTGCTTTTTTCACTTTATGTTATATCGTGTTCATTTCACCCTATACTTAAACTCTTCATAAATATTGTTAACGGTTGCATAATATGGCTCTATTGGCTCTTCCAGAATTTACTTAACATTTCTCTGTCGTTGGCCTTATGATGTATTTCCATTTTTCAGTATCATAAACAGTGCTGTGATTATTATACCTCTGATGTCATTGTTTTGCATCATATTCTTGCCATGAATTCTTAGAAGTGGAAACACCTAAAGGCTCTTGTTACCTTCTGCCAAGGGTATGATAATCCATACTAAATAGGTTCTTTTAAGAGTAAAATTGACTGAATTGGGGACAAAACAGTTGTAAAGGGACTTACTGGGACAATTGGGGAGATTTCAGTTTGGACAAAATACTCGATAGTATTACTGAATTAGGGTTAAATTTCTTGGATGTGATAATGGTATTGTGTTCATGAGGGAGAGTGTCCTTGCTCTTAGGAGATACGTGCTGGCGTGTTTAGGGGTAAAGTGTGTGATGTCTGCAACCTTTTTTTCAAGAGATGCAGATATACGTGGAAGAGGGAAACAGCACACAAACGTGGCAAATGTTAACAATCGGGGACCCTAGGAAGAAGCATGTGGGCGTTTACAACTTTTTTGTAGGTTTCAAACTTTAAAAAATTAAAAGTTGGGGGAAACGGTTGATAAAAACCATTAATTATTAGTTAAAAAGAAAAGAATATCGTCTAAGTCTGGAGGATGACAACTAGGTGGTGAGAATGTTGGAGATGCTTAACATGAAGAACGATGGGCGTATGGGACAAACTATAGAACTCTTTTCTGATTTTTGAAGGACAATTTTTTGGAAGAATGAGTAGTCTTGTTCTCTTTGTTTTTGGAGGTAGAGCTAACACGGGGTGAAGAGAGTTCCCAGAAGACACATTTTGGCTTGTGATAAGGAAGAATGCTATCCCTTAGAGCCATCCAACAGGGGCACACACTGTGCCTGAGGTGGAGAGCTGTCCCTCAGGAGATGTGATCAAAGGTCTGGTATTGCGCAGAGAGGGTCTGGGTGAAAGTTGCGCTGAATGACTTCTAAAGTCCTTCTTCCAACTATGATTATCTGAGTCCACTAAGATTCCCTCTTGCACCAAATACTACCGAAGTGATACCTGAACCACCCTGATTTGGAGGAGTGAGGGTTGGGGAGCAGAGAGTTTTATTGTGAGCATTACTATTAGTAAGTATCTAAGTGTTAGACCAAAATTGCTGTATATTTTATTTTAATAACTAGGAATTACTTGTAATATCTAATTAAAAGTACAGTAATTTTTCATTTTTTTTGTATTAGAAAATACATATATTTTCATATGATTGCTCAACCCACTTGTCATTACCTTGCTTCTTTATGCTTCTAGTGACATCTGGTCCTTGGGATGCATTCTGTATGAACTCTGTACCCTTAAGCATCCAGTAAGTATGGCATGCAAAATAGAAAAAGAGCCTCTTGTCATATCTGATTAAGTCTTAAGTAATGTGCCAAATTCCATTTGGCATTTTGCTTCCCTAGGATGAATTCTTTATGAAAGTTTTCGTTTGTGTCCATTGCTGTCATCTGTGCCTTGAGCCACTTTGTAGCATATACTAACAGGAAATTTCCATTATTTAGTTCTTGTAGTTCTATATTTAGCTTGCCTGCCTGCCTGCCTTTCTTCCTTCCTTCCTTCTTTTCCTCCCTTCCTTTCTCTCTCTCCGTTTTTTTTTGCTATTCTTAATTTTTTTTATTTTGATAGAATACATATAACCTGAAATTTACCATTTTAACCATTTTTAAGTGTACAATTCAGTGGCATTAATTACTTTACAATATTGTGCAATCATCTCTAATATCTATTTGCAAAACTTTTCCATCACCCCAAACTGAAACTCTATACCCATTATTCAGTAACTTCCCCTCCTCCTCTCCCCACATCTCCTGGTAACCCCTGATCCACTTTCTGTCTCTATGAATTTACGTATTCTAGATATTTCATATAGGTGGAATTAATTATACAATATTTTTCTTTTGTGTCTGGCTTATTTCATGTATCTTAATATTTTCAAAGTTTGTCCATGTTGTAGCATGTGTCAGAATTTCATTCCTTTTTATGAGTGAATAGTATTCCATTGTATGTTTGTACCATGTTTTGTTTATGCATTCATCTGTTGATGGACATTTGGGTTTCCACCTTTTGGCTGTTATGAATAATGCTGCCCTGAATGTGGGTGTACAAGTTTCTGTTAGAATCCCTGTTTTCCATTTTTTTGAATATGTATGTAGGAATGGAATTGCTGGGTCATATGCTAATTGTATGTTTAGCTTTTTAAGGAACTGCCAAACTGTTTTCCAGAGTAGCTGCACCATTTTTAAATATATCTTTTTGCAGTTAGATTTCACTTATCATGTGAATTTCTTCTGTAACTGAAATATCGTGAGAAAATAGACTTTGTCCTATTATATTATGTATTTTTTCAGGGTATTTTAAGAAATAATTTAACAAAAAAGAGATTAAATAACTTGCCCTGCCTGCTCAGCAGTTGTTTTTTACACAGAACTAACAATCATAACACTGATCCCTATTAGGTCTTAGCTTTGCATAGAAATAAATTCTGTTCTTTGGGCACGAGTTGAAACTTGGCCTTAGCAAGCATTTTTACAGATGTGCTTGAGAGCATGTTGCGCTCACGAGAGTGATGCTTGAGAAAAATCCTTCACCACCGCTTGATGAAGGTAACTCAAACTGAAGGCGTGCACTGTTAATGACAGGTCTTCCTTAAAAATAGTGGCCTGTAACGCCAGCTGCATAATTAGAACAACTTGGGAAACTTTAAAAAATGCTGATGCCTAGGAACACTCCAGACAACACTTGAATTAAAATCTCTGAGGGGGTCCTGGGCATTAGTGTTTTTAAAACAGATAATTCTAATGTGCAGCCCAGGTGGAGAACCACTATTGTATACAAATAAAATTATCTTTAAAATTCTAATATCTTGGGCCGGCCCCATGGCTTAGCAGTTAAGTGCGTGCACTCCGCTGCTGGCGGCCCGGGTTCGGATCCCAGGCGCGCACTGACGCACCGCTTCTCTGGCCATGCTGAGGCCGTGTCCCACATACAGCAACTAGAAGGATGTGCAGCTATG